CTGCTCATAATGTATTCCTGGAAATGTGTTCGAAGCTGATTTCGCAAAACTCGAACAATAGATTTCTGTGCTGTGAGGGACAATTTCATTTCCTAAGGACTCCACAAATTATGAAATCCCAAATTACTTTTCACCTTTTAGGTGTCATTGTGAAAGATGTATTTCCAAGGTTTCAGACGTGTTATTTTTAAAAGTAATTGGATTTATCTTATTGTGTATTTTTTGGTTCTGATTACAAAAGTGATGGATGCTTGTGCAAAAAATGCAATTGTTAGAGAAATCTGCAAGGTGGAAAGTGCAGGCAGTGTGGAGATTCGTGTGCAGAATGGTCTGTGTGGGTACCCGGGGCAGGGGGGGCGCAGTCCCCCAGAGGCAGCAAGACCCCGGATGTCAAAGCATCAGACCACAGGAAAGGAAAGGAATGGTTAAAAGAGCACACCTAATGCTTTAGTAGGTTTTGCCAAGTTGCCCTCTCCAAAGGTTCTCAAGGGACGCTCTCTCCAACAGTTTGGAGATTTCCCATTTCCCCGCACCTCTGGGCATTCCCAAATTTCTCCCTTTGGTTAACTGAGGGGGAAATTGACTAGATTGCGAAAAGCACACACACGCTCCAATTGTGTCTACTTCCTCCACAATTAAATATATGCTTACCCAGCTTAAGCCTCAACGGGTCCAGCTGAAGGTCAAGATTTTGCTGCTTGGGGCACAAGCTTCAACTCCCTCCATTCACCCTCTGCTTGCTAAGCCCCAGCCATGCTGGCCTTTAGCTTCCTGCCATGGACCAAACCCCTCCCCACCTCAGGGCCTTTGCACATGCTGTTCCCTCTACCCTGCACCTCTTCAACTGGGTAACTCCTATTCACCCTTTGGAGGGACCTCAAGCGGGTTCTTGAAACTGTTTTCCCATTTGTAATAATATTACCCCCTTTGTAGAGTGGCTGTGAGGATCAAATGAGATACACAGCTTCAAACACTTGGCACAGTGTTTCAGAAAGTGTGAGGATTTCAGCTCAAGAGGTACCTCCTCCAGGAAGCCCCGCCTGACTATCCTGCCCAGGTCAGGTTCCCACGTGTTGTCCTTTCTCACTGATCTCTCCATTTCTCTTTTCTGTAGTTAAATAATTACTTGCGATATTATCTGCTTCATGTGTCTCTTTCTCACTAAGACCATGAGCTCCGGGGGCCGGCCCCATGGCGCAAGCGGTTAAGTGCACGCACTCCGCTGTTGCAGCCCGGGGTTCGCCAGTTCGGATCCCGGGCGCGCACTGACGCACCGCTTGGCAAGCCATGCTGTGGCGGCGTCCCATATAAAG